TCTCTCTCTCTCCCTCTCTCATTTTTCCCAAAGTTGAATATTCCGCTTGCCTGGGAGCTGTAGCCAGCGGAGCGGTGCACCGGGCGCGGGGCTGGTATTTTGAGTTGCGCCGCGCTGCTGCGCCGTGTGGGAACGGACTTTGGGGAGAAGGAAATCATCCACAGTATCCCGCCCCCCCTTCCTCTGTCCACCCTTTCTCCTGTGTTTCTTCCAACTTCATTTCGGGCTACTTTCAAGATGACAGAAGAAAAGAGTATTCGGCATGTAAAGCTGGTAGGTGTCTGAAACCCCTCCCCTCCGCGCACAGAGGTGTCTGGCTCGTACTGGCTCTTGTGTTGGGATTCAGGGTTTTTTTTGTGTGTGGTAGCGCTCAGACACGCCGGGGTGAGAAAGAGAGAGGCGCCCGGGAACTGAAACGGGAACCGGTGGTTATTTTTTCCACCATCCGTTGTGGATCTTCTTGCTGTGTTCTCTCCATAGGTCGCTCTTAAATGAGCCAGATCCAGGCTGCTGGTATAATGCTCAAACTTAAAGACACTTGGTTCCTTATGGACAGGGCTTCTCCTCTGTTGTCAGATTTGTGTTGAACAGCATTCTGTTTAAATACTTGTGCTGAGAGTTAATCATGAAAGTAACATGGTGTGTTTTTCTTAATGGGATCATATTCAGTTATTTTAGTGAAATTAGATATTTTACTTAAAAGTCCCCTTTAAGTCCCATAAGACCTTAAAGCGGCCCCTGGCCCTACTTTGTGCACCCCTGCTGCGCAGAGGCTCACAGACTATTGTTATTAGAATGATTCAGCAGATAGATTCATGTGTCTCTGTCATGTAGAGCATGTGGAACAGTTTAAACAAGCATGTGTGTCCGGCTGCTTATTTTAGGGTCTTTACAGCCTCATTGGTGGAGCTGTGGGTTTTCTGTGCCATGAAACACACACTATTTGGTTATTTACATATTATCTCATTTATATTTGTCCTTATGGCATCATCATGCTGTCCAGCTTGTTCCGCTTACTTCCAACAGTGAAGCAGTACCCTGATCATTTTGTTGAATTCAAGGTTGCAAGGTTGTTATTGTGTCTATATTTCCTTTCTGAAGTGTCAATGCAATATTCCTGTAATACTCTTATTAGAAATTTTGATGTGATTGTAGTGCGGTATCTTTTCAACATTAATTAAATGCTAATTCTTGTTCAACTTGTCATCAAGTGCTACTGAAGAGACGGCAGTCCTATTTAATATTTATAGTTCGACAGAAGTGCATTTGTCACATTTATGTGGATGAAGCCAAAGTCTTTCCTGTCTGATTTCAGCGGATCCGAAGCGATGAACACTGACTTGAAAATCAAAAACAAATCTGCCACTGGGTAGCGTTGAAGCAAGCCAGTGGCCCAGAAATTAATACCCTGTCAAATTGTGATGACATGCACAAAGTTGTCAGGAGAGTGTTGAAGTGTCATTGCACATAATTCAGCTCATGCGGGGCTGAATGCCATACATTGAACTCAGTTATGTTCTGGTGATCCTGCTGAGCTCAGCTGACAGTATAAGGGAGCATGCTTGTTGTTAGGCTGGTCTGAATGCCTCCGTGTTGGGTAGCATTAACAGGCAGGGTCACCACTGTTGTTATGAGTCTGCCAGGTAGTGCAACCTGAGTAGTTTGCTGCTTTGTATTCAGCTCTAACCTGTATATAAATCAGTTGCAGTGGGAATCTTAAATCCTATTTCTAGATTGATACAATGCCTCCCGCTTTCTGTGTGTGTGTGTGTCTGTTTCAGCCAAGCAAAACCAGGATCGGGTGGACAAAGAGCACAAACCCAATCAACCCTGTGCACTGTAGTAGTAGTATGCCCAGTTCTGTTTTTTTTTTTGACATGAAGCCTCAGAGCTGCCCTGTCTCATACCATTACACAACATGGCTCATCAGGCCGATTACACATCGGCACACTCATGCATGCTTCCATCTCAAGTAGACAAGAACAGAGTCAATGCTCTAGGCTGCCACTTATACCTTCAAAACCCATACGTTTTCTTTCCTGTCTATCTTTAGGGTTGCTTTCCTGTGGTCTCTCTCTCTCTCTCTCAGCCTCCCTGTCATCGTAAGCGTCTCTCATTTTTCTCTCTCTTGGTTTATCCATGCATCAATCATTTGTCTCTGTCCTCTTTGAGTCTCGTGGTTGCTGTTCCCTCTCAGTGCTTTAAGGCGCGTTGCAAAGCTCACTGTTTTGTGTCTTCTTTACCTGCTATTAACCTATTTTGTTTGGTGTGTTGTGCGTAAAGTTCTGTCTATCCACAGAGGAAAGCAAGGGGGATAAAGAGGAAAGTGGTAGCTTTAAAGAAACATTTTTGTCCAAAGATGTAGGATGTCAGGTAGGTCAGGTGAGGGAGAAAAAGTTTTCTTTAATACAGAATTGTGAAGACGAACTGAAAAATAATGCTGATGATAATTATTACTTTAAACCCTTTGACTTTTTGTGCAGTGACCATAAGAGGGTGTTAATAACACAGCACAGGAGTTCACTAAACAGAAGAAAACTGCAGCAGACGTATAATTGGTCTCATTTTGTCCTTACTTCACACTGTGCTGATTGTCTCGAAAATATTTCTGATTGCCCTCTGGCCATTATTACGTTATGTGACTTGTGACATTTAGCAGATTTATCAAGGTGTCTGCCAGTGCTTATCAGATAATAAATTATATTGTGTTCCTCACCTTTACTCAAGTCCTTAAAAGTCCTTGAAGACTTTTAAATAAAGTTGAGCGTTCAGGAGCTCAGAAATAAGCCCAGTTAGGCAGACTTGTGCTCTGGGAGGACTTTCTTTTCCCTCTTCGTTTCAGAGGTGACATAAGTCATGCATCTAATACCAAGTAGCATTAAAAGGTCTTAAAAGTATTCTTTTTAAAGCTTTTTAACAGACACTCTGAAGTGCTGCCAGTAATATTCTTATTAGTATAACATCAACTGACGACAGGGGGAACCTCCAAAGACCAGAAAGAGCCCTGGTGTGTGTTCATTGAGGTGGTCAGTTTCATGCAGCTGGCGCACATACCGAGAGAAGCCATGAATCTTCACCCCTGATATTTTAAAATCCCTGCCCCCTGCTCCACGGCTTACCATTCGTCACAGTGCCCCAGCTTTCTGCAAGAGCTCTAGACCACAGTAATTCCACAAATTCTTCTTAACAGTTAAAATAAATCATCTCAGCGAGCAGACACGGTCCCCTTAATAAACCATGTGCTCCTGCGTTTTTATCCTCGGCCATATTGTTTGGATACGGAGAGTAAATGAGCTGAGAAAACCCTTCTGTATTGGCAAATGCTGGGCCTAAATCAGTGGAAGAACACTTTGGTTGAAATATGCTGTTAGGTTTCACTGTTTGTGTTATTGTGGTAGAATGAAATGCCATTATTTGTCTGTTATAGCACTAATGATAATACCCCAGAATCATAGTATTGAACGCTCTTAATGCTGTTGTGAGTTGTACAAAGGAGCCGTCAATGCGTGTGTTCTGACAAGCTATTTTTCAAAAGATATCTACATATCTAAGTATAAGTGCAAAAAACCACAGGGCTCTGTAACAAGCTTCGTATTAACCGCAAGAGTTGGCACAGCAAAGTAGAAAGCGTGGCTAGCCATGTTAAATGGGAAGTGTCAGAACAGGTGGAACAGCAGTTACATTCCTGCATGGGCCCTAACCAGCCACCGACACAGCCTGTTGAAAATCCTATTAAGAATAAAAAAACTCCTCCCCTCTTCTAAAATTAAACTTACTTCCTGCAACAGACTGAGGTGCGTCACAAATATTTGGCAGCGACTGGCAACCCAGATAAATCTTGTTTGCAATGACAAACTTTTATAGTCACTGTTATGATGAGTGCGATGGAGGCGAAACGATGCATGGAATGTACATGTGAAAGCTGTGATGATTAGTTATGGAATGTAAAAAAAAAAAGGATTGCCAGGGAGCATTCATTAATAGAGGAAATGGTTTCTATGTGATATAGAATTGATCAAGGCAATGAATGCGGAAGTAGAGACAGACATAGCATGGATGGATGTAAGTTGTGACAGATTGCCTCCTGTTTTTGTCTCCAGACGTCTTTGATCTCTTCATTGCTCTGAGTGCAATGAAGGTCCCTGCCAAGAGAGGCATAGCCTGTCTCCCAGATACATCTTGCACTGCATGTAGATCAGCAAAGAGTAGTCATGCACGGCACCACATTGCTTAACTTTCTCCTTCTGGCCAAAAACAATATTAATGTGATTTTATGGTTACGCCGGTTGGGGTGGTTAACATCTACCTGACTGATGTTTGAATTTCGGACTGAGCAGTTGTATCCTGCTGGTCATCTGGCATGCAATGCTATCTGAGCAGAAGAGAACACACAGAAATAAGGAAAAGTGAATACATTTGGGGGGAGACAAGCTTATGCTCTCTGCTCTTAAACCAAAAGATTGGTTGTATTTATTTGGATTTCTCAAACGTATAGTTATCCTTCAATGTAAAGGCTTGAACACTAACCTATTAACCTACTAAAAGCCAGTCTGCATGGTTCTCTTTGCTGTGGTCTGGCATGGATCAATGTACATTTGCTTTGGCTGGACACATCATAGACCAAATGACTTGGCATTCAATCTGGCCAGTATTTAACCAGTCGGAGCAAACTAAATGCAGTACTCATTCCCTTCATGATCTCATCCGCATAGTTTGCTGATTGGTCCGGCGTCCTGACATTTCTCTCAATCAGTCCTTAGTTGATGTTTTCCAAACTGAAACTGCTTGCAAGGTTTTTTGACCCTACTAAGCTATACATTAGGAACAAAAATAGAGCCTATTTGAAAAGGAAACTTGGGACCAGAAGTTAACAGACTGCAGAATCACTCTTGACCACTAGGAGAATATAGACCTCAGGTTGCTTACTAATGCAAAACACATTTAAGGGCCAAAGTCTATATGCTGTGCCAGGTTTCGATCACATGATATAAACCATTGCTTATTAGGTTATACTTGTAACTGTACATGCGTGGAGGCCGGGGTAGCTCAGATGATAAACTGGAAGTGGCAGAGAACATGTTATGGTCCAGTCTCTTAAGGTAAACCAGTGAAAGCCAATAAGCTGCAGGCAGAGGCCCAGGCTTTAGTTCAGGGCTACAAGCTCCACTGATTCCAGATTCAACAACCCAGTGAAAGAGAAGTTTGGAAACCAAAAAATCTGAAACACATGAAGACTCAACTATACTAAAAGAATCAAAGAGGACGTATCGCTA